TATTGAGAAGCTTTAAACATTAGAAAAAAACCAGTGTCTGTTGCTATTGAGTTCGCTCCGAATCATGGTGACCCTGTGTATAACATAGAATGCCATCCTCATGATGTTTGGTCTGCTGAAGCCCTCTGTTGGGGTTACTGTGTATTTGGGGGTTACTGTGTATTTTGAGTGCCTTCTATTCTAAGGGGCTCACCTTTCAGCTCTAGGTCAGATGATGCTCTGCTGTCATCCACAGGGGTTTCACTGGCTGCTTTTTGGAAGTAGATGACTAAGCCTTCCTTTCTAGTCTGTCTTAGTCTGGAATCTCTGCTGAAACCTGTCCACCATGGGTGAGACTGCTGGTATTTGAAATGCTGGTGGCATTACAGCCACATGCAGCCCTTCACAGCACAACCAAGTGACAGACCAGTAGTGAGGGGTAAAAAAAATCGTAGTTCTCAAAAGGCTCAAGGATAGAACTAGGAACAAAGAAAATCTTGGCTAAGAGGAGGTTTAATCAACTAGGTTGTCAGAAGGTGAGAACTAAGAAGCTGGTAATGAACGAAGAACCTCCTATGAACCTGGCAGAGAGAATGTAGTGGGAGTTCAGCCAGCAAAACTCACAGCACATTAGCCATTGTAGGATGTAAGCAAGAGACAGCCTTTACTGTCCCAACTTTGGAACATACACACACACCAGCTGCTGAGTGATCCAGAAGGGTCCCAAGAGGCTAGGTTGGCAGCTACCATAAGTAAGAAAGTAGGAAACCCAGTTGATGGTAACACAGTGTATCTGGAGAGTGGTGATGACCAGGAAGGTCCAGACAGTCATGAAACGGAAGAAAAATAAAGCATTGTCTGTCGTCTGGGCTTAGCGGAATTCAGTGTACAGCTCCCCTGTGGTGAACTTTTCCCTTTGGCGTGGGAGGGGGCCTCTCTAGCTCTAACTTCTTCAGCACAACTTGTTCTTTTTGGTTGGATGTTCTGCCCTTCCAGAAAACATCAGAGAAACATGGTTTATAGTAAAATGTAGCTAATAAAGCATGAGAAGGAGCAACTGCCCAGGGCGGACAGATCTGGGAATTCCAGACAGGCTGACATATTTTTGTTCTTGCTGCAATTAGTGAGTGGGCAGGCTAGCTTATGTACCCGGTAAGTCTCTGTGACTTGGCAATGGTGAACATATATTGTACTTATAGTGACGTCTTCCCGGGGGGCAGGTTTCTGAGTCCTTGAGGCTGATAGACCATACGTGGTGGCTTACTGACCAGGGACTCACTTGTGTGTGCCTCAGCGCAGCCCCCCCCCCCCCGTTCTCCAGGCTGCAGACCCTGCAGGAGCACTCCATGGGCACGCCTGCCATGAGTACCTTCTACTGAGAAACAGAACCTTCTCTCTTAAAAGAACCTTCTCTCTTCAAAAGTTTGGATCTGTAGTGAAAGTCCTGCACTGCCTTTCAGGGAATTAAAAAAAATCATTTTATTGGGAGCTCTTACAGTTATCAGAATATTCCATAGTTCAATCACATCAAGCAATATTGGACAGTTGCTACCGCAGTCAGTTTCAAAACTTTTTTTTCCGTCTTTCAGGGAATTAAAAAAAATTAATGGCAGTGAGAAGTTGTTGTGGTTCTTGTGAGTCCCCATTCCCCAATGCCCTTCAGTGATTATGACAAAGCACGCCCACGGTGTCATTCAAGCTCCTAGAACCCTAACTCTTTTGAGTTGGGCATTGAACTTTACTGTCAGGGCTCAAGAGAAACAGGCAGCCATTAAAACAGGCAGCCATTGAATCTTGGTTCACTTTCAAATAGCTTATACAACTGCTCTCAAATCCATACCAGCAGAAGGACTAGGACTCTCCAGGAAAATCAGGAGACAAAAACTCATGGCCATTGAGTTGATTCCAACTTAAAGCAACCCTACAGAATAAGGTAGACCTGTCCCTGTGAGTTTCTCACACTTTAACTTTTTACAGGAGTAGAAAGCCACGTCTTTCTTTTGTGGTGAAGCTGGTGGTTTTGAACTGCTGACCTTGTGGTTAGCAGCCCCATGAGTAACGACTACACTAAGCCCCAAATAACTTGTCCCTTTGGTGAGGAAGAACCTAATGATCCCTCCGAAAGAAATAGCAAGGAGTTCCACAGGCTTCATGCTAGGCACTGGAAACCATAACACAGCAGCTTCTTCTAAATTCCTTAGGGTGGCCCACTGATTCGGGAAGGCCTAGGTTGAACGAGATGTCTGCCCTCATCATCACAGATCATCCTCTTTTCTGCGTGAACAACTGCAACCCTACCCTGGGCAAGAAGAAATGGCATCTATTTGAAACACAATGATGTCTTAGACTCTGCCATCCATGTAGTGACTTTGTGCTAATGATTCTGATCCTTTTCACACCATCAGCTCAGCAAATGACAGCTCTGTCTCCTATCACATTGTCATCAACTCACCAATACTCTGGGCTCAGCAATATAGGCTTGTCATGCCAAGCTGGTTGGCTGATTGTCTAGGCTATTATTGACAGTTGTCAAGAAGTTGATTCTCACTCATGCTGACCCCGTGTATGCATTCCAAACTGCTCCAGAGAGGTTTTAGTGAGTTACACAGCAAATGAGGTTCCCATTTGATAATTTCCACATAAATTATCCAGTGGCATTGGTTCTATCTTCCACAATTTGTCAACAGTCTGTTAAATTGCATTCTGGTTGTTCTGCTTCCAGTGCTCTAGTTTCTCTGCCCCCTTATCTTCTCATCTTTACTTTAGAGTCATTACTGACCTTTTGGTCTCCTATTGATGGTGATACCATACTCACAGCCTCTATTTTGTGTGCTAGTGTCCTCAGTACATTTTCAAAGGCTGGGGCCTTTCCAAAACAGATTACCAGGTCTGTCCTCTGAGGCATGTCTGGGTAGGCCCAAACTGCCAACCCTGCACAGTGAATAAGCTAACTAAATCCACTGCCATCCAGTCAATTCTGACCCTTAGCAATGCTACAGAACAGAGCAGAACTGGTTTCATAGGGCTTCTGAGGTGGCGACACTTAGAGTCTTGTTATACAGGGTAGATTTTATTTTTAACAGTGTAAATATTTATGGAAGCAGACTGTTATCTCTTTCTACTGTCGAGTGGCTGATGGGGTCAAACCATCAACCTTTCTGTTAGCAGCTCAATGCTTAGTGGACTGTGTCACCAGGAATTAAAGCAGGACGTCATATTTGAGATTTTATGAAATGATATGTCACATTATACAATTACTTTTCAGCTGTTGGGATCTCTTTGTCGCTTCCCTAAAAGCGCACTTTTAGGGAACCTTTGCTTAATTGGGCAAAGGCTCAAAGAGATGGTCTTTCTCCCTTAACATAAACTCACTGCTCTCTAAGGTTTCTATTGAACCTTTCAAGTTGTTTCTCTTGTCAACTTGATCCCAACTTGATCCCAGAACATTTCTAATGAGGAAGCAGAATCCACATTCTCTGGACCCCAAACTCAGAATCCAAGAGAGGAAAAGCAGGTGTGGAACAGCCTTTGGCCAAACAATTGGAGGGCATGTTAAAAAAGTACCGCTACAAAGTAACAGAAAACATTCAACAAACATATCCAAATGGAAAGCTGTAGTTCCTAACAAATCCTCCTTCTTGAGAGCTATGTACTTCTGACCATTCTAACCCTTCCCGAAGAATTCTCCACTCTTTAAATTTACACGATGTCAAAACTGCAGCTTGAGGGACCCAAATCATGTTCTTTTCAATGTTCTTTAATTTGGGGGAACAAAAATAAGGCATGATCAGAGCTGTGATAGGTGGTGTAAGGCTTCCCAGTGCAATTCTCCAAGGATAGCCCTTGTTACCCTCGAAGAGTAAGCGGGTATATTATCATGATGATTGAGAAAAAAAACCCCCAAAAAAACATGGTACAATCTTCCTGGCCTTTTTCTTACCAACACAGTTCTCTATGGTCTTAGAATTTCTTCCTAATGTCACAATGATGGTCCTGTGTCATTCAATGAAATTGACCAAGATCTCCCATCGGAAATCCTCCTGCCATGCCCCTCTCCAAAAAGTCACCTTGACCTTCTGAACTGACCTCACTTCCTTGAATTTAACTGGCCCTGCACATCCCTTTGGAAGCCACTGTTTTGACTGGACTTCTTTTCTTGAAGGCACCCAAAGGAGACTAAGCCAAGTGTAATACTGAGCATACTTGTCTGCAGCCGTCCATGGATCACAGAGATGTGTTTAAAGGTGGTTAGTTTGGAATACAGCCCTGCATGTATGAATTGGAACCCTAGTAGCAGTATTTTGGGACTTATCTTCAGACAAGAAAGTCTATCAGAAAGACGAAAAAGGTGTGGCCTTAGACTTCAAGCCAATCTAACCATTTGTAGGCATAGTCTTGACAAGTAGGGATACCATCTACCTTCTTGAACAATGCCATTCATTTATCTAAGCAGTGCACACACCATCAGATGCTTGTTTTGTATCCTTGGCAACCAATCTTCTAGTACTATAGCTCTCATCCCTGCACCTCAGCTCTGTGGAGGTGGTGATGCGTCAAGGTCGGGCTCAGCATGGTGCAGGAACAGAGGCCCCAGGGGCAGCTACGGAGAGGGCCCAGGCCAGGTCAAGTGGGTAAAGTCACGTGGAAACCTGAGTGAAGAGCTTGGTGGGGCAGAATTAGATGGCTAGGAGCAAGTCGTCAACCTTTCACATGGTAAAGTCCATCTAGCTTTTCAATATTTCAGTTTGTTTAGGTGCTTAAATGTGTCAGGTACATACATTATTAAGTGTTAAATATATTAGTATCACCCAACAGAGGAGAAAACTGGGCCTCATGAAGGTTACTGGACTTGTACACAGCCACAGCACAGGTACAGGGCAACTGAGGGTGAGAATCTAGGTCCACCGAGCTCAAATGCCAGTGCTCTTAAATAATTCGACTCAACTTCCCACAGCCCAAGTCCCCTCCCAGGAGCCACAATACTGACATGTGCAGCACAGAGATCAAAACCATGCACTTACATTGCCTTCCTTTTCAAAGTCCGGTGGGAGTAACTTCACAAAGTTATCAGGGAACACGCCTCGCCGGCCATTGAGCTCACCTTCCCACCAGCCAATGTCAATGCAGTCCTGGGAAACAGGAGAGCAGAGAGTGAGAAATGGGTGCAGGTCCCTTCCACAGGGTCACAGCGTCTCTCTGCATGGGTCCCTTCCAGAGAGGCCTGACATTGATTTTCTAGGAAACAGGAGCTTCTTCCTTGAGGAAAGGAGGAAACTATCAATATGACAATGGTTACTAAAATTACCACCACCTCCCCCCCTACACACACACACACACACACACACACACACACACTATCAAATAGAAGAACTAGAGCTTAAGTGCGTGGGAGCTGCTGGCTTTTAGATGCTGCTTTTAGATGCCACTAAAGCAATAAGGTCTTTTTTTTAAAGATAGGAATATGTGTATTTTCTTAGTTTTAATTTTACTGAAATAAAAGGATTTAATTGACTGCAAATGGAGCTTATAAACTATCACATGCACAAATCTCCTTTTGGATGAGCCAGGCACAAAGCTTGCTCGAATGATGAAGGCCTTAGCAACAGTCAGCCAAGCACCAGAAAAAGCACAATTCAGGCACCGGCCTCCTTCTCCTTCTGATGCTCATGGGACACAGGTGCCACCAGGCCAAGTCGCCCCCCCCCCCACCTTGTACAATTCAGTTTGCTTATACAATGAATGGGGAAATCGATTCATTTTTCCAGATTAAACCTGCCTCCCAAAGAATAACCCCTACTCGGTGACTCACTCTATGGAGTGCCTGCTCTATGCTGGCCTTGAGCCAAGTATCAGGGAGGAAGCAATAAACAAGACAGGCAGCTGCCTTTGCCTTAGCAGACCACCCCCAGCCACCCCCTGCCTGGGCTTAATGGCTGGCTCCCTGGTTCTCCTGGGCATTCAACCTCATGCCACAAGAGGATCTCTATCTCCCCTCCCAGACCCCCCATATTCAAAGCCCAGCTGCTTTCAAGTCGATTTGGACTCAGGGTGATTCCATGTAACAGAGTCAATCTACCCCCTGGGGTTTGCAAGCCTGTCATCTTTATGGAATCACACTGCCACATCTCCCTCCTGTGAAGCTGCTGGTGGATCTGACAGGCTTTTGGTTTGCTGCCAAGCTCTTTAACCATTGTGCCACTGCCACTTGGATAACTGCTGCCTTTGAGTCAGTTCCAACTCATTGCAGCTCCAATGTACACCAGAATCAACACTGCCCTGTCCTGGGCCATCCTCACAGTATTTATGAGGCTTGAGCCCACTGCTGCAGCCACAGCGTCAAGCCATCCCGTTGAGCGCCTCCCTCTTTTTCGCTGACCCTCTATTTTACCAAGCACAATGTCCTTCTCTACTGTGTAGGAGGGTCTATATCATCTACTTTTATATCTTACTAGTGGTCAATTCTATTTCTACTGCCCCAACCCAGAACTTGTCTGGTGCCTACTGTAAATCTCACTCGGCATCTCTTCCTACCCAGTATAAGTGCATCACACATACAATGGCCCAGAGTACAAATCCACTCGCAGAAGTATGATCAACAACTTTCACCTGAAAAACAAAAGGAACGAAAGCTTTCCTAAAACTGTTAGTGGCAGAGAGGACTTTCGAAGTTACACCTGGAGCAGGAAGAGGAAGAAGGAAGTATCATGCTCAGGGCCCATGGAGTGATGGTGGTGGTCCTCCCTACCCCCAATGGGACTGAGTTGGGGTCTAGTTGTGAGTCCCCTTAGTGTCAGTTCTGAGAGGGTCCCAGAATATGTGGCTCATTCATTGGTCCTTGCGAGTTCAGACATGGCAGCAAGGATAAGAACAAACACATCTGTCTTGTTCATGATTATAACCCCAGCATCCTGCACAATGCCTGATATAAATAGATATATGTGGAATAAAAAAAACTCTGACTCTGAGTTCTATGATCTTCTGCCATCAACTACTTTGATCACTGCCAGGGCAAAGTAGCCTTTTTCTAAACTTGGGATAATCCTACATACGTTAACACAAGCCCTACCTCACATGAAGAAGTCAATGGTCAATAGCCCCCCTTTCCCCAGGAGTATCTGTTACAAAGACAAACTGACCTCTTAGAAGACAATGGGGATTTTGAAAATTGGTCCCTATCACAGACTATAAATTCTAGCTTCAAACACCAAAAGAAAACCAAACAAAATCAAATACACTTGAAGCATCAAGTTCAGATTTACCTACTGCAGAGTTCAAAGGACACCCAACATCAGAGAATGCTGATCTTTCTTGGAAAATGATGAGAATCCAGGAGATAGTCTGGTCCTGACCATGCCACATGGTCCCAGAAATAATCTGTCACCAGTCCCCCAAAGAAGGGAGTCACAAATAGAATTCAATGGCTTCTGAAGTTCTTCGGAATCCTGAGATGTTATAAATGTCAGCAGCAATATCATAGTAACAGATGAAGGCCGCTGGGGTTAGAATTCCTTGCACCTTAGAAATTAAGTTTCTCAATCCAAAGGTACTCCATCCAAAGAAATGTCTGGTACAGATTTTACACTTTTTTTCTTGTCCTCATCTTCAGAGCCCACTGAAAGCTGACCTTTTGGAAGATGACTAGGATGAAGGTGTTCCCTTGTTCTGTAACACTCAGTATGGTATTAATGCATACCTCATGACACTCCATTCAATTAACATGTATTGAAATAGCACAGTACATTTAAGTTCCACCTTTAGGTATTGCATTGCTTCCAGACTAAGACAGACTCGGGAGAAAGGCCTGGCAATAGTTTCACTTCTGCAAAGCAGCCAGGGAAAACCCTGTGGATCACAATGGTTCAAAATCCACAGCTGACCTTGGGGATGGGGCAGGCCGGGGCAGTGTTTTGTCCCATTGTGCACAGGATTGTCAGGAGTCAGAGTCAACTCAGCAAATGCTCTTAACAACAACAACAAACAACAACACAGGCAGTGAACGTGAACTGTGAAAAACATGGTCTCTATCCTCAGGGAGCTTAGAAACCTATA